AAGACCTATTGGTTTGTGGTATATAAATACCCAATTCACACAGTGTGCCAAGTGTTGGCCAGAACCCAAAACTTGCACAGCTCCCTGGCCTGCTCAGAATTTGGGAGGGCAAAGATCATCCTGTCCATTCCCCCTGTCTTCAGTCAGGACTATGCAAAATTAATCCTGACCTACAGAAACTGGTCGTAACCTGGGAATGACAGTAAATAGCCAATTTATTCTCAAGTCTCCCCTGTTACTTCCTGTGAAAAGGTTTCATTTCAGAACCACCAAGGATACCTTGACAAGACCCATATAGCCCCCTAAATGATTCTTCACTGACTACTTGTTTTACTTACAAAGTTAAGGATCTAGGAGGCAGTCCATTGCAAGCAAGTAGGATACATTGCCACGAGCAGACCAGATCTCTCTGCAAACAAAAAAGGAAAGAAAGGAAATGGAGCTCATTATTGTAGTAATTCCTCCTGAAACACTAGAATAATTGCCTCGACCTGGAGTGGAGACTGATTACAGCTTAGTAGCTGTTCTGGGCATGGATTAAGTGCATTCTTCAGAGTAGAAGAGTCTTCCATTCCACATCCCTGCTACAAACTTCATGCTCCTCAGCAATGCAGGTATAAGCCCCTCCACTTTCTTTCGTTAAACACAGTCAGATCCAAACTTTCCTGTCTAACCCTAAACTCTCAAGGCTTTTCTATCAAGGAATGCTAGCCCCCCCCCCCCCCCCGAGGAACTGGCACAAGATGGAGGATAATGGCTCCAAGGAAGGTGTTTACTATGGTTTTATTTTTAAAAGCAACCATGGACAATTAGATGTCATTTATACTCCTTTTTAAGAAGTCAGGGCAGGAGTAAGAATAACTCCTCAGGATCTCTTGCTAGAACCCTGTCTGGCCCTCAAGGAAAGCCCAGCTGTGTCTTGTCCCTTTGTGGCATCTGCCTGTCATTGCTTCCAACTCCCTTCCCCAACACGCACCAAGGGAGGCTTCCGCATACGCCTGCCTTGCTGACCTAATTTGTGCATTGCATTCTCCCTCTTTTTACTGTCCTACCCCCAACACACACACACACACACACACACACACACACACGATCCTCTATCATGACCCCAACATAATCATAAAAAGCAAAAGCAATGACTTCAGAGGCACCTGGCTGGCACAGTTGGTTAAGCATCCGACTCTTGGTTTCAGCTCAGGGTCATGAGATCAAGCCCTACCTGGGACTCTGCACTCAGCATGGGTTAAGACTCTCTCTCCCTCTCCCTCTGTCCTTTCTCTCTCTCTTTCTTTCTCTCTCTCTCTCTCTCTCTCTCTCCCCCATCTTAAAAAAAAGCAATGGCTTCAGAGCTAAATTGTGGGGGCTCCGATTATGGCTCCACCATATGCAAAGTGTTGGACAAGTTCGATGCCTCAACTTCTTAGTCTGTAAAATGAAGATAATAATAGCATCTACCATAAAGAGTTGCTTTTGAAGGTTAAATTATGAACGCTATTCAAGTGCTCAGAAAAATGTCTGGCATAAGGTGGTACCCAATACATATAACTCTTATTATAGATGGTGTATTGAGTCTTTACATTCCCTTCCTGTCCTAACGAATAGTGAAGTACTACATGTTGGCTATGCCCCCATCTCCCTTCAGAGGAGAGTGGTCATGGGTAGTTCTTTCTTTATTAAGATACTATAGCTGACAGTCATTGATCCAAAAATGAGTGCCCAGGACTGAGACAACCACATGTACATAAGATGAACATGAGCAAGACTATTGCCAAGGAGATGACTTGATAGGTCATCATAGATGCTACCTAATTGGAGCACTCCATATTAAGTGGTGACAACCCAGCCTAATCAGAACTTCTCTCTTGGAAAGTTGGAATGTAAAAACACACAGCGAAGAAAGCGATAGAGGCCTTTTTGAAAGACATTGAAAAGATGACCAGATCACTAACAGGGCAACCATATTCTGAATGGCAGTTATTCACTGAGTATTCATGAAGCCAGCTGAACATATAAGCCTGGGAAGCAGAGGATCCAGTGATGGCTTAGGTGCTGAGGTAATTCCCCACGTTACTTCCCTACCAGTACATCTTTTTCTTTTAAAACCTATCTCCTAACCTGTAATTTTCCAACTTTAGTGTTGAGAGAAGCCTGTGAAATTTGTTAAAATGTAGATTCCTGGACCCCTTCCCTAGAGATTCTGATTCAATAGAACTGGAGTGGAGCTTCAGACATAGAGGGTCACTATTTGTGGCCACGCAGGTTATCCACTGTACTCCACCAGGTTCACCTTCAGACTGACGATGATGTGAATGCCTGAGAGTTGTGCAGTGCACAACCTGCCCAGCTAAATGTAGCAGCCATGAATAGACCTCATGTAAGTGGCTCCAAGTTCACACTAAGGAATACTGAAGGTAACTTGGATCTGTTCCTTTTTTGCCATCTAAAAGAATCCAACAAATACTAGTTTCCTGGTGATCCACCTGGGTCCTAGTTACTGTTCATACTTACAAGGTAGCTACAGCTGGGCAGGACTGAAGCAGAGAGGGAAAAGGATAGGCAGAGAAAGGACCAGTGCATTTGTGTTTCACTATATACAGAAAGCTTCAACAAGAGGCTTGAAGTCTAGTCTAAATATATGTCCCTTCTGAGTGCTACTGGCTGTGAAGCAATTGGAATGAAACCAAATACAAAGAGTGCAGAATGAATTGCTGATGAAACCCTTACAACACCCTGAGGCACTGGCATTGTGTTCCCAGCTCCCTGCCCCTCGTTGTAGACTTGCTTTCCAAGGCCCATTAATTGGTGAGGGTCTTGATGTAGTTAGGAAGTAGTAAGATGCCATAAGCCCCTAAAAAAAAAAAAAGATTGTGCTTCTATAGAAAGGATTTTTTTTTACTTTTTATTTAAACTCCAGTTAGTTAACATACAGTGTAATCTCAGTTTTGAGTGTACAATATAGTGATTCAACACTTCCAGGCATCACCCAGTGCTCATCACAAGTGCCCTCCTTAATCCCCATCACCTATTTAACCCATCTCCCACCCACCTCCCCTCTGGTAACCATCAGTTTGTTCTCTATAGTTCACAGTCTCTTTCTTGGTTTGCCTCTCTTTCTTCCCCCTTTGCTCATTTGTTTTGTTTCTTAAATTCCACATATGTGTGAAATCATGTGGTATTTGTCTTTCTCTGACTTATTTTGCTTAGCATAATACTCTCTAGCTCCATCCATGTCATTCTAATGGCAAGATTTCATTCTTTTTTATGGCTGAGTAATATTCCATTATATATATATAATATATATATATTATATATAATATATATATTATATATATATCTCACATCTTCTTTATCCATTCTGAGATCTATGGACACTTGGACTCCTCCCATAATTTGGCTATTGTAAATAATGCTGCAATAAACATCAGGGTGCATGTATCCCTTTGAATTAGTATTTTTGTATTCTTTGGGTAAATACCCACTAGTACAATTACTGGATTGTAGGGTAGTTCTGTTTTTAACTTTTTGAGGAACCTCCATACTCTTTTCCACAGTGGCTGCACCAGTTTGCATTTCCATCTGCAGTGCATGAGGGTTCCTTTTTCTCCTCATCCTCACGAACACTTGTTGTTTCTTGTGTTGTTGATTTTAGCCATTCTGACAGGTGTGAGGTAATATCTCATTGTGGTTTTGATTTGCATTTCCCTGATGATGAGTGATGTTGAGCATCTTTTCATGTGTCTGTTGGCCATCTGGATGGCTTCTTTGGAGAAATGTCTGTTCATGTCTTCTGCCCATGTTTTAATTGGATTATTTGTTTTTTGGGTGTTGAGTTTATAAATTCTTTATCTATTTTGGATATTAACCCTTTATCAGATATGTCATTTGCAAATATCTTCTCCCATTCTATAGGTTGTCTTTCAGTTTTGTTGATGGTTTCCTTTGCTATGAGGAAGCTTTTCATTTTAATGTAGTCCCAATAGTGTATTTTTTATTTTGTTTCCCTTGCTTCAGGAGAAATATCTAGACAGAAGTTGCTATAGCTGATATCAAAGAAGTTACTGCCTTGTTCACTAAAGAAAGGACTTATCTATCAAGTGAGTTCAAGTCAACAGGTTTTTGGTGAGCACAGTTATGTACTGATGGAATAATAAAAAAAAAAAAATTAGAAAGCTCCCTCCAAGCTACTCAAGAAGAGAAGTGTCTCTTGTGAAGAAGAGGGACATGATTAAAACATGTATAGAAACTGGAGGACAACCAAGAGAATATGTCATCAAGTACAAAGTACTGAGACTGTACATGAATTAGAGTTCAGGAAACCAAGAGACCAGTGAGGCTGCATAATGCCACATGGAGGCAATTGAAGAATATCCTAACAGCTACTTTTGTAAATAGTAGAGGTATCTGAGGTTTGAAAGGAGAAACACACTTGCTCATTTTCCTGTTGACTGGCATTTCTTTTGATCCCAGCACTGGACTTGGTCATGTCCACTTCACATGCTCCGAACCAGTATTTTACTCTGATTTTCTGGAGTACACCTCACTTCTGCTGCAGGTTTGCATTGGCTTCTCAGACACCTGGTCTGGGACACCTATGGGAACCACCCAGGACTTGTGAGATCCTGGCAATGTGAGGGAGAGAACATGTGGGGGCAATCCTTAACCAGTCAAGGATGGGAGCTTGCAGATGCCTGCCCCACTTGTGTCCCTTGAGTGGACAGTTCTGAGAGGCATTTGTCATGGCACTCAGTCCCAGAAGGAACAGGCCCCAGTTTCCCACAGCTGTGACCAAACTCGATAACACACTTTGTATGAACTGGCTTCCCCTCTTGCCTTGTTTTCCCTTTTCCCCATCCCCCACTCCAGTTCCCAGAGCTCACTTCCCAAAGGACCTGCATACAATCCCTTGTCCCAGTTCCTCTTTCTGGAAGGAACCCTGGTTTAAACAATCTCTTAGAGAGATAATGGTTTCTGATTTCTGGTATTTTATGCTCAATTTGCAGAGAACTCTGACACAGGCCTTCGGCCCCAAGCACACTCATCTCTGGAAGGTCCAAACTAAAATGTGCTGTGTGTTTGATCTGAGGTTTTGCCAAAGACTCAGAATATGAGGGCAAGGAGCAGAAGAGAGCGTTTTATATTTCCCAAGTCCCTGCTATGTGCCCCTACTGTGCTATGTGTGTTTGTATATTATTGTCACATAAATCTGACGAGGTAAGTAGAATTTTTTTTTAAGAAGAGGAAACTTCTTGGACAGAACAAGAAGTGACAGAATCAGGATCTGAATTCAAGTCTAAGGACCCCAAAGTCTATATTTTGCCCCATTTACCACATATTTTTCTCCCACATACTATTTAACGCATGGGGTTCGGTACCTCTTTCTCAAGTGTCTCAGTGGTCTTCGTATTTTTGTTGTTGTTGGTTTTTCAGTTTTGGAACGAGAAATTAGTGACCTGCAGCAATGAGTCGGCACTTCAATCTCTCCGGGTTGGGGGACAGAGTTGGCCCTTTAAGCAAGAGTGAAAACTCAGAACATAGAAAGCTGCTGATGTCTGTATGCTACACCCAAGGATTTCAAGCCAGCTTCAGTTTGGCTCTGAGAACTACAAGGCAGCTGTCTGGCTGGTAATGAACACAGAACATGAGTCAGGACTATCATGGCTCTGGGCTCAATGCTGAGCACACAGTCGGTACACATGAAACATTTGCCAAACTACCTGTAAGGTCTGAGAGCCAAGGCTCCATTTCTCTCCAAGGGCCTGCCAAAAGTAAACTGTGGGGGGCCACATAACACATTTCAATGCTCTCTACACTGAGCCCCACTTGTAACTTTTACATGTCAGACCCCAGAATAACAGGGATCTAAATACATTTATGGAAGCCACACAGTAGCATTTTGAGGCTGAGAAGCCCCCTCCTTTGTGATCACATCGCTTCTGAAACCCAACTCACAGCTCTTTGAGCTGTCACTCTTAATACTGCTCCTACAGGATGAACTAGATCCCCACTGCTTTATGTCATCCTCTGTGCTCCCTGTTTTTGTGTTTATTTACTAATTGGCTGACTCTGGTTGTTTCTTATTGATTTACAAGTCAACTCAGAAAAAGTGATTCAAGTGTAAGGTATTGAAGGCGTGGATCTTTATTCTCACACTGCTACTTTGGTCACCGAGACCATGTCATCACTGGGAATATCCATTCACCTTGTATCTCCCAAACTTGGTAAGGAAGGGATCAGAATCATTAAACCTCCTAGAGTAGACAATGCCACATTCATTCATTCACTTATTGAGACAGAAGGACGTTATCTCCTACACAAAGAAAAGTTGGGGGACACCTGGCGGGCTCAGTTGGTAGAGCATGCAACTCTAAATCTCAGGGTCATGAGTTCAAGCCCCACACTGGGTATGTAGCCTACTTTAAAAAATTTTTTTAAATTTCATTAAAGTTTAAAACAAAAGAAAAGTAGTGACTTTAATAACTGTAATCAATTTTCTTGAGCACTAGGGTGCCATGGAGTTAGGACTCTCTGCAGTGTTTCTCAAACTGCAGTCCTTTCAACCAACTGCAGCAGAATTCCCTGGAATGATTATAAATATAGATTCCTGGAATCCAACCCAGACTTAATGTAACAGAATTTGGTTTTTGGTTTTTTACAAGGTTACTGTTAACCAGGAGATTCTCATCCCACTAAAGTTCAAGACCCCCAAGATCTATGAGGACTTACATGCCCTACGTTGCCAAGCAAAAATTTTATTAGTGGACATCACCTCTGCCTTGTCCAGTTCAGACCCCCCAGGCCAGTTCTGGCACTGTGGCACCTCATCTTCCTTCAGTACATGAATACTCAAGTCAATGTACTGATGGGGGTGAAAAACTGAGAAGAGAAGAAAAATCAAGAAAATACAATCCAAGAAATTCACTGATGAACTCAGGAGGAAAATGCCCCAAGAATAACCAATGACAGTTAAGTCACTGCCAACCCATATTTCCAGCTATTTCCCACATCTGTGTATGGCCCTTAATAACCTCCTGCAGGTATCCCATTTTGGTTCCAAAACTATAATTATCCAGTTTATACTATGGAAGCAGGGAAGAGTTAACCCCAACTGTCTAATTCCTATTGGGAATGTAGGAAACATTTGGCTTTATATCAAAGCTGTGTGTTATAATTTGTGAGGTGATTTATGGCTTCCAACATCCTTTAAGGAGAATACCCCATTTAAACTTTGCATTGTTGGAGATATCAAAATTATAATGTATAGACTAAGAAGGTTAACAGCAAGCCAGAATTTAGTTATCTCCTCAAATAGTTTCTTTTAAACCAAATGAGGTCTTGAAAACAAGCTCAGAAGACACTCTTCAGCAAGGACGGAGGAACATGCATACTCTGACTCACAGACTGAGTTTTTCCAGACAGTCCTGATCTCCAGGCACATACTCAATGGCAAAAAAAAAAAAAAAAAAATCATGATTTGCCAGAATGAAAATTAGCTTCTCTGATTCACTGGGTTTGAGTGTTTAAATTTTGTTAATCAAAGTACCTGGTATAGATCACATTCCATGAGACATGACATGTCTTAAATCACTTCCTGAATTTATTCAGATCTGCCTGTTGAAGAAAGGTTCACTCTCATATATAATGCCCTTGACCACAAATAAAGTCTTTGCCATCTGTTTTCACACTAGGAAAACACTATTTGGATTCAGTGATGAAATAAAAAAAAATCATAGTCACATAAATCCAAGTTTTGTTCTCTTACCCTGGGATCACTCCAGCTGAAATTACAAGAAAAAGGACTTTGTTAATTAAAAAGATGAAGTGTGAACATGTGTTATTCAAGAATATTGATACATCCACCTACATCTCCAAATTATTAACATTCTCATAGCCCTTGGTTTTTATTTGTTTATTGGCAATGAGAGCTTTTTTAAATCAGGGCTTCAGATATATCATTTTATCAGGCTCCCGTAATACTTCAGAGGGTAGAGGGAGATGCCTTTATTTTTTGTAGCTCCTATTTAGTTTGTGAACCAAATATTTCAAGGATATTTATCACCACTGGGTGTCTTATTGGAATGGGAAAACATAAGCAGGCTAGGTCACCAAAGAACTAGAGAAGAGGATTTAAACTGGTTAGACAAAGGAAGTATCATTATCGTGGTTGATAAAAATGAATACTGCATCCTTCAATCCCACGCCATTGATGACCTCTGCTCTGGATTATGGGGGACACTGATCAAGGGCAAATACACAGTCTCCAATACAGCCTGGAGTTTCAGTATCAAACTCCTAGCCCTACCCTGGGGAGCTAAGTTTTGAGGACCTTCTCCCCACCCCCACTTTAGAACCAGACCTAGAAGTAAGGCAGTCTGAATAGGCTATTACTTGGCTCTTTTCTCCCCAGACCCCACCATGTTCCTGAGTCTCACATTTTACCATTTTCCCTCCAGAGAAGGAAGTATGGGAGTGTATAAAAACGTGAGTACCCCTTTACTCTGAGCTACCCTCCAGGCATCTTTCCCCTGGCCTCACCCACCAGGGCGTTAGGGGATCTCAGGCCTGGAGGTGCCTGGAACCTGACTTTCCATCATCCTGGGAAAGACAAGGGGTGCAGGGTGGTTCTGTCTATGATCTTTTCACTCCTCCCAGCAAGAGCCCCACCTTCTAGCATCCTGGCCCCCTTGAGTGTAACTAATCCACATCAGCATCCTTCCTTTCAGGGATGGAATATGGGGAGGTGGGAGGATGCTTCATCCCTGCAGCTTGGAAAACTGATCAACCCAATATCTCAGGGCCACACAAGCCAGAGGCCCTTTCTGCCACCTCCACTTCTGACCATGACCCCATCATTCTCTCCGGGCAGAACATTCCAGGCCACACTCTTCCATTTGTGTCCCAAATTAGTTCAAATAAATCCTTCATACCATCTCTTACATCTATGGCTTTCCATATTCACTGCTTTGACTCTAATTCAGACTTTAATATTTGCATACCAGGATATATTAGAAGAGGCTCTTATCAGATTCCTTGACTCATCCATCAATCGCTCTCCCTTGCTCCAAAAGACTCTTCCTGAGCATCATTGTTTTTATGCAATCTACTTACCAACCTTCTGTAGCTCCCTATTACCTCCAGTAATACCTTGATCATTGCCCTTGAGGTACAGGAAAATATTGAGGGGCATGGATACTGATGACAATCCTGAATCTGCCACTTATTAACTGTTACTTTGGGCAAGTTACTTAACCACTCTGTGCCACAACATCCTCCACTTGAAATAGGGTTAATATAGTACATAGCTCATAGGATTAATATGAAGATTAAATGAATTAATATAGAAAAGGGTGTGGTATTTGATAAGCATCCAGTAAGCAGCCGCTATTATTACTATTATTATGGTAATTAATATGGCTCATACTTCTCGGCCCAGCATCCACTGGCCTATACAATTGTACTCTGGGCTGTACAACTGCACTCTTAAGACAGTAGATACTCTCCTGGAGCTCCCCGGAGCTTCCAAAACACATTAGAAACCCACTTAAGGTGATAGGCATGGTGGCCAGTGAACAAATATTTAATTTGAGCCAAGAGCCTAGAAGAAGTACAGAAAGCTGGGGAGGAGAAGTGATTTTCTCCCCTCTGCTGCTCCCGAGGACACATGCTATGCTCTGAGAAGCCAGAAGGAAGATTTGAGTTGATTATAATCTAATGAGGCTGCCAAATCAGTTTTACTTTCCAATACAGCATAATGACTGGTGAGTCCCATGGGCCCTGAGCCAGGGTTATTTTAACTGGTAGCATTATCTGGGTCAGACTGGTGAGCCTCTATGGGGAACACTCTGGGAAATGTCATCTTCCAAGGCAGAGTGGGAGCAGCCCTACCACCGAATAGATGGTGATACCAGGGTATTTGGAGGGCAATTTCTGAGTTCATGAGATATAACAAGGGAGCACAGGAAGGAAAAAAACGAAAGGGAAAGGAGAGGCAAGAAGGGCAAGGACACAGCCTAATTGGGGGGGGGGGGGGGAGAAGAACAATACAAGTGGAATAGCAGTTAAGGGATGGGGGAAAGTCATTTTTTTCTAAAAAAGAAGAAGAAAATAAAAAAAAGAGGAGCAATTAAAGGAACTGAGCGCTGGGGGACAGGGGCATATTGGGAAAGAGAACTAAAACTGCCAAGGCGCTTGAGTGCCTGACGGATTCTGAAGACCTAAAATACACAAGACAAAAAAACCCAAGCAAACAAACAAAACATGGACACACCTTTGTAGTCTAAGCAATGTCATCTGTAAATATTTGTTAATAAGCTCAGTGAAGTGCTAAATGGAAGAAGGGCCTGGCAAATTCGAACCAGCCAGTTATATTCTCAAAGCCTCAGACCTCTCTTCTTCAGCCCTAGCAGGTGGCGTGGGCGAGTTACTGGGGAGTTCCCCCGCCGCTCTAGTTCCTTCTACTGCTTGGAAACAAGCCTGGTTCACTATGCTTCGCACCCCCAGGCAAACCCATGGCTGCGCTGAGAGGAAGTGGGATCAGGGCGGGGGTTTGCCCCAAGGTTAGCAGCCCTGTTAACTGTCTGCAGAGAAAGGAGGCCTGGGCAGCACCAGATACGGTTTGGGGTAATGATTTAGCCACCCCAAATTACCGGGTCTCCACAAAATGGACACTATCTTTTCACACTACATTGTGGAGAGATGGTGAAGGAGCTTATATTTCTGAGCTATCTTTGTCTCGTATGTAAATAATTTCATGAAAAACACGTAAAAACCACTGCTACCACTTACACAATCAGAAACGGAGATCAGATTCACAGACGAGTTCATCCTTCGGAATACCCCAAAGGAATAAAATAACGGGAATATGGGGAAATGCCAAGGTGTGACATTTATTCAGGCAATATTTTTCAGAAGCCGAGAAACCCTTCTCTATTACAAGTTCCAAACAGCAAATGGCTGCATTGAAACTAAGGAACAGGGGTGGTATTAGTATTTAATACTAAATACGATGAACACGATGAATCTTTAGACTAGAGGGCGCTCCTTGGTTTCCTTTTGCTTCTCCTGAAGTTTCCTAATGTTAGCCAATTGCAATGTGGTTTTTCTTGTTTTCCTTTCGTTTTGTTCTGTTTTGTCTTTCCATTTGCCCCAGGGCTATCACGGGGACTTGCGAGAATGAAGTCATGTTCCAAGACAATAGGGGAGGTCCTTGGAAGGTTTCTGAGTTTTTCCCGCCTTTCTCCGACTCCAGGGTCACCCCTCTGAGCAAGCCACGCCCTCTCAGCGGCTCTCCTGCCATGCCTTCCGCTCTTGCCCTCTTTACTACCTGCTCTGCACATGGCGGCCGGGGAGCACAGCACTTCCTCTGCCGTGTCCCCTCCCACTTACTGCACCCGGTGCTTTTCCTTCGTAGCAATGTCCACACTTTGCAAACGTGTGTAGGCGAGGCAGGGACGGTGCTCGCCAACGCCTCCTCAGGGCCACAGCGGTGCTGGCGGGCGGGCTAGATCAGATCACGTGGGCGCGGGGGAGGAAAGGGAATGGAGGAGAAGCTGCCAATCAAAGGCCCCCTGAGCATGTGACCATAGCTGGCCAATCAGATTCTTTCAAGAGTTGTTAAAAAACGGAAGCTGTGAGCCACGTTCCGTG